GTTGATCGGATGATATCACTCCCTCTATCACCCACCTGTTGAACACACGCCTACCTTTCTTTCTCTCGACAGTTTGGCCCGATACACAGGAGCACCTGACTTCAGATTTGCGGGGTTGAACTCTGCTGCGTCGACACACGAGACAGGACTGGACACCTCCTGTTATTACGGCTGCGCCAATGCATGACGATCATAGCTGTCTCATGCACCTCATCTTTCCTTCATTTTCTTGAACCGAGAATCTCTTTTCCGAAATCACGGGCAATATTACTGGACCAGCCGGGACCTGGGACAGACATTTCTGCTATCTCTCTCTTTCTTCGGATTCCGCCCGGCAGCCACAGTTACACATCATTTCCCAGCACGGGGCTGGATTGTCGTATTGGCCATTCCTCCGAATCATTGCGTGGAGCATGCTTGGCTACTTCTCAACAACTTGAAACTCTTCAGTTCTATTCTCTTGTACATTCCTTCCTTTGCTTCTTCGCTTCAGTCTAAGCGCTGGACCCTCTTGACGAGTTTGTATCTTTCTCTTGTTTGGATACGTCGTGTCTATCTTCACATTCAGCAACCCACATCATTCATTCACAATGTCGAACACTCTCCAGGTACCAGGGACGACTCACGCAAAGGTGATTGTCGCACCCCCTGCGATCAACCTTCGACGCGCCGCTGCCTATAACGCACAAGATCGGGGACCGCTTTCCTCCTCATCTGCCACTTTCAACTTCAACCACTTACTTTTCTCTCCTCCGCCCTCGCCTGGCCTCCCTGCGCTTGTTCCTCGACGGAAGCGGAGGGTTTCGAACCCTCTAAAGGCTCGACCAAGCCGGCTCGCCCGGTTGACGTTTTATTTGATATCCCTCTTCATCGGCGGCTACCTGATCGTCAATGCTATCCGCTCTCGTGGCGGAATAGATGGATTCTGGCTAAACAGTTCCAATGAGGACAATCAAATGATGGGGCTTGACCCGATACCGAGATATCCCACGCCTTTTATTGTTCCGGATATACAAGGCCAGACAAGGTGGACGGTTTCTATCCCACCCGACACCAAGTTCCCGCCATCATCTCAGGAGATGATGACGATGAACAATCAGTGCCAGAAAGTCTCGGCACGAACACGTGAGATGTACCACAAGGGCCCGCTTGCTACAGGCAGCTCCGACGAGTTTTTCTTGGATGTCGAAGAGGCGGAGACCCAGGGGCTTCTACGAACACACCATGGAAAGCTTTCAAAGGAAACCGGAAGGTTTGCGGGGGTTGACACGGCAGCCATGAAGGGCATGTCAATTTGCAAGAAGTCGATGACCTTTGTTCTGGAAGGCGACGATGCTGGCCTGGGAAACACTCTGATGATGCTCTGGACCTTTTACGGTCTTGCAAAGAAAGAGGGACGGACCTTCTTTGTTGAGGACTCGCGCTGGGCGTACGGGAAATATTCTGACGTCTTCGACAACCTCCCATCACCAAAATGCCAGCCACCCGCTAGACATCACATGCTGCCTTGCCCATCCCAGGCACGACACCTGATTGTCTCGAGCTCATCCGCACAAGATTCATTCCCCGAATTATTCGCCAAGTACCGCCGCACATCCGGTACTAGCGATGAGGCCCGTGACCTGTGGGATCTCGCCCGGTCTGGCTATGATTCACTCTTTGCTCTTCATGCTGATGATAGTGACTACGTCGAGACTCGTATCCAGGATATGAAGAACAAGGCCATCACTGACTTCAAAAGTCCCAACACACCCATCGTCGGCCTACATATTCGACGAGGAGATAGACACCCCAAGGAATATCAGTACAAAGATACTTATATCCCTGCAGATATCTTCCACCAGAGCGCCCAAAAGGCTGCCAATGCCCACTTTGGAGACGCGGAGACCCAGGGGAAACCCCACGAGGCTCTTCTCGTTTTGGCCTCGGACGATCCTACTGTTCACGAGGAGCCTGATCTGCAAAGGGCTATGGTGGCCCAGGATCGAATCAAACTTGCATCCAAGACATCCATGACCCAGACACGCCAGCCTGTCGCATTCATTCATAAGTTTATCGAGGAGGCCTTTGGTTGGGAGGGCGGCTTCTTTGCGACCCTTTTCTGGAATTTGGGAACAGAGAGCAAGAACAATGCCGCCAACGCTCCCAAGGGAGTGGAAACTGGCATCCCTGAGGATGTCTTGAGACGGATGGCATCGCCCTCCGATTCAACTATGCAGTTGCGAGCCTTTATTGGCCGTGCGTATATGATGGACCTAGCAGTGATAGCAGGTGCAAGTGATAGCATAGTATGCGCTGTGAGTGCCATGGGTTGCAGACTCCTTGGCGTGATGATGGACTGGGAGAGTGGTGTCAAGGGTGGCCATTGGATAAATGTCGACCAGGGATATCAGTCCTGGCAAGGCATTGATTGGTAAAGACACTATATTTGCTATAGTATTATGCCTAAATAAAATCTGGCGTTGAAGTTAATCTAATAAAGCTTGAGTGTGAAAATGGTGATTGAGTCCTTGATGGGCTGCTCATGTACTGTCCTCCTTGTATACATTGATTGACATAGGCGGCATGCGAAATGCTTATGAGAAAATTGACCTTGAATCAATCAAAAGCTCCCATCATCATCTTAAGAGATTATGACATTTAACAATCACTGCTCAAGTATTGTCAAGTTTAGGATGTCGTTCAATTTGACACTTTGCATTCGCAACTCAATTCGAGTTTTACCACAACCCCAAGCTTTGGAACTAGCCAAGGCTTAAAGTTTCTGAAGTCTAATAAGTTTTTTTTTTTGTAATGAGCAGATAAATGGTAGTCTCTACCTATCTTTTCGTTTTTCCCCTCCTGAGCTGAGTATAAGTGAAGGGTGTAAACTAAAGTGGGACCCACAAGTGAGTAACTGCCTGCAATCGATAGGCCAAGCTGCGGCTCAAGCAGTTAGAGTGCAACTCCAAGCTCTCACGCGTTTCTTTAACCGTACAAAACCACATTGCCCACGTCTCCCGCCTCAGACCACGACCAGACCCGAAACCCAACTCAACAACGAGGCTAGAGATTCCGATTCTTTAATCCAACATGCCCGGCCCTGATGGCGCTCCGGCGCCACCAAGGCCGCGTCTGAAGCTCAACCCCAGCCGGTCGTCGTCCTTTGCCGTGGACTCGAATGCGACATCCCTACCGTCGGCGGGAGGAGGAGGAGCAGCAGCAGCAGCGGCATCGCCGACCGTCGCGACCCCGCGCACCGAGAGCCAGCGCAAGGTGACGCTCAAGATTCACTCGTCGGCGCCGCCTACCCCCTTGGAGCCGCCGCAGCCAACCAAGACCAAGGCCGGGCGGCAGCCGAAGCCGTCGCAGAAGGTGGTCGAGAACAAGAAGCGCCCGCTCGAGGACGACGAGGACGCGCCGCTGGCGGCGTCCGCGCACCGCCAGCACCACCAGCCCCCCAAGAAGAAGCTCAGCGTCGTGCGCCCCGTGATCAAGACGGGCGGGCTAGGAGGAGGAGTAGGGGGCGCCAAGCAGCTCCTCATCAAGCAGAAGGGCAGGCCGCCGGTGCACCCCCCCGGTGACGGGTACGACTCGGAGGCGAGCGACCGCGAGCGGGACCCGCACATCGAGGAGCAGCTGGTGCTGCGGATGATGCCTGGCGAGCACGCCGACTACGTGCGGTGGTGCATCGAGAACGGGAAAATCGGCGTGTCGAAGGCCCAGGGCGGGGCGGACCTGCAGATCAAGTTCTTCGAGGAGGACGGGCGGCGCGCGGTGGTGGCGGTCAAGGGCCAGCCGTACGCGGCCGTCATGGTGGACCTGCCGACCATCACGGAGGCGATGAAGACCTGGGACCGAAAGTCGTTTATGAAGTCGGCCGACATTTGCCAGATGCTCCTCGTGTTCCAGAAGGTGAAGAGCGAAGACGAGGCGAAGAAGGTGCCGCTGCCAAAGGTGCTCGAGGGGAACAGCCACTTCAAGTGGCCGCACGGGCTGACGCCGCCCATGCACGACGCGGTGAACCGGAGGTTCGCCAAGACGATCAGCCGCAAGGAGATTGAGGACAAGGAGGCCGAGGTCGAGCGCCTGCTTGCCGACGACGCTAAGGCCGCGTCGACCAAGTGGGAGTGGGTGGACGACCGCCAGAACGAGGGCGAGGAGGAGGAAGAGGAGGAGGAGGAGGACGCGGAGGGCGAGGTGGACGAGAGCGGCTTCTTCGGCACGGACGCCGGGGACGACATCGCCGACGTCGACCTGGAGGCTGATCTGGAGGCCGCCTTTGCGGACGAGTTCATGGCCGAGACTCCGATCGCGAGCGGTATCACGGCGGAGACGCCCATGACGAGCACGCAGGTCGGGACGCCGGACGTCGTCAAGGACAGCGTGGAATCTGAGGAGGATGAGGAGGAAGAAGAGGATGACGACGACGACGACGATGATGACGACGAGGATCTCGACGACGACGAGCGTGCCCAGCGGGACGAGGAGCAGGGCATCAAGGACATCATCTCTGACATGCAGAAGCAGCTCGCCCAGCGCCGCGCCGACTGGGAGAGGACCAACAACCAGATTCTGCGGTCCCGTATCGAGGCCCAGATCAAGCAGCTCAAGTCGGAGATTGAGCTCAAGATGTCGTCTATCGGCATGGAGATGGATGATTAAGAATGCTACTCTACACTAATTTACGTCCTGTATAATGGGCGTTGTATCGATTGTCATTTAAGGGTGGGGAGGTCACGACAGTTGCTACAATGCTGTTCTCTCTCGCCTGTTTCGTATTTGGAGTTGCAGCATGGCACTGGTAACGGATATGATTTTCATGATCAGGTAGTCACAAGGCGTTTCGGAGTCGAAGTCGGAATCGACAGAAAACATGGCATTAAATTTTTTTTCACTTCAGGCGGGTGTATCTATGAATAGCTAAAAACATAGCTCGTCAAAAAGAAGGATGGTATCTTTAAACTACAAAACTCAACTACCTTCTCTCGTGAAAGTACCGTCACTCTTTACTATTTGCTTCAGTTATTGGGACTCTTTAACATTTCCATCATTGTCCTCTTCTCGTGTTTCACAAGCATGTCCTGGACTGTATCGATCACATCTTGCCACTTGACATCCTTGCAGAATTCCGCAAGTGACCGTGGAGGCGGGTTCGCTAGCCTTCTATTCCGTCGAACCCAACGTAATAGTGCCTTCTGTATGCGGACGGCGAGATCCGGATCCCGCTTCGATTGCTGCTTGAGATAGCTTGCAGTGTACTCTGCATCACTGAGGATCGTGGCCTTGTGGTCGCGATGCCATCGACGAGTCGACTTGATTGTTTCGACAACCCGAATAGATACGTCGGTGACAGCTTGTTGATCATGCCCGGCTTGTACAAGTTCCTCAACACTTTGATCCATCGATGCGCCCCAGCTGTCTTGGCTGTTAAGTGAATATCCGCGGTGCAAAGACTTTGTCTGGGAATCAAGTGTCGACCTGTCGACTGTGGTGGACTGAGACTTGTATCCAGACTCGATTATCGAATCCGCCAACGTCGGCAACTGATCCAGTTGCCTCGAAAGCCCATCAAAAAGCTCTCGGAGTTCTTTGATCTCGTGCTGAAACTCAGAGACGAGCGCCTTGGTCTCTTCCTGGCATTTTTCGAAATCCGCTCTCAGTTCTTCCGCCCCCTTCTGACCGCCATCGACCTGGGACATGTGTTGCTTCACTGCCAACATTTCCTGCCATAGCTTCTGTAGGCGATCCTCATGCTGTTCCCTGAATTCCTTGTCCTGGCCCGTGGAGTGTACGAGCTTTTGTAGGTCCCGTTGTAGCCGGTCGGTTTGAACACTGACGTGCCGGATACTCAGTTCGAATGTCATCTTGGCAAGTGCTTCAGCGCGCGCGATGGGATGACTCGGCGGAAGGGGCTTTTGTGCCGAAATTGAAGAGGTGGGTGTCGATGTGCTCGTGGCCGCGGCCTCGCCAAGTGAATTAGTTGAACCATTGTTGGTGGTATTCCTAGGAGGTAGAGAACGTCGTCTTGTGGCTCTCACCATCTTTACTAATGGGGATCTGGTAACTTGAGTCTAATTGTCTTTTGCCTGATTTGGGTGCGATGGTTCGTAGAGCTTAGAATTGGGCAACTGGTCGCCGCTGAAAGTTTGCAGAACACTCATGTACAATGCAGCGAGCATCTGAGTTTCAGCACATTAGTCGCTTCGGCAGAGCTCAAATCGGGAGTGAGTAGACATGACGAGGAAAAGAGAGCCAAAGTAGAATTGGATGTCGGTAGAGGTCTGTTTGGAACTTGAGGGATGAGACTTAGGTACCATAGGAGCAATTTGGATTAGGTACTTTAGGAAGGTATCTAGGGTGATATTATGCATTGGCTTTAATGGCCGCAAGTGTAATGGGAAGACTCTAAGCGAGCAGCCTGGTGCGCGCCTTCCCTGATGTTGGATGAGTATAACACTGGGAAGGTGCCAGCCGAGGTGCGCCTGCCTACCTACATACTTGTTGGTTGGCCAAGAAGCGGGGAGGAACAAGAAACTCTTTCCTTCCTACCAAATAAAAAAGAAAGGGCACAAGACGCCTTGTCGCTAAAATCAGAAAGGAAAAACAGAAGACGAAAATCCCTGGTGTTTTATAGACAATGATCCTTTATACCCTCACTTGTTTTCCCTTGGCAGCCTGGCCTCCGCTCCAATCTAAACTGGTCTTCCCCGTTGTTCGCTGAGACGCGATCCAAGACAAGAAGAGAGCAACATCCTTCGCAACTGGTCCTGGCATGGCCATCTTCTGCATCCATGGTGGCAGCGAGCCCTTGGCGTCCGACGTCGTCGCCATGACCCATTCAATGCCGTCAGGCGTCTCCATCAGTCGCTCGATGCTTGTGTAGGCGCCGCGCACCGTTTTGCTTCGCTGCTTGTCCGGGTTCAAATCAGATGCCGCAATCTGGACGACCATGAACTTCCTCCCACCCCGAACGGCTGCTGTGGCCTGTAGCACAGGAAACACTCGGTCCTTGAAAGGGGGAGGCAGTTGGTGCACAGATTCCTCCAACTTGAGGGTCCAATCGGTCCAGATCTCGCCGTCCAACTCGACCTCTACGTCCCGGCAGTCCCATTCCTGATGCACGGTTGTGCCCAGAACCGTCGGCGTGAACTCCTTTTCCGCTTCGGAATGGTGCTCCTTGAAGCACTTAACCCACTCGTCCCAGCGGGCAGTGCCGGGGGCGGCGCTGTCCTCATGTGTGCTGCGGCGGAGGTACCATTTTTCAGGTTGGAGCCGCCCTCCCTTGAGTTGGGGTAAATGATGTTGCTGGGCTAGCGATTCCAAGACATCGGTATGCACAGTACGGTTGTACATATATACGGGCGATTTAGACGACAGGAATCTTCTGCTGCCCATTGACTGCCATGCCGTTTTAAATGGTGAACGTTCGGGCGACGGTACGTTACTGATGAAGGGTGCGGCCTCGAGCAAGATTGATGAGAGGAATGGTGTCAGCTCATCAGGTGATGCAGAGACAGCTGGAAGCTGTGAGCTGTGAATGCCCCAAAGGCGAATGAGGGGACCGTATTCGAGGCTCATTGTGACTCTATTTGGGGTCCTGCCTGCTTTTGGCGGAATTTTTTCAAAATCCTTCACACCGCTCCCACGAAGGGTTGTCGCACATAGCACGCTGGCTTTCGAATGGTGTTGAGGCTCTTCAGGGCTGGTCTATCAAGACACTCAGAGACGATGCAGATGCACGGTGAGCAAGAGGAGGATCTGGATAGAGCCGACAAGAGCCTCCCTGCCTCGTGACTCGGTGTCTCAAGTTGAAGTGCGGCATGGCCAGCATATTTCTGAAGTGGTCAATACCGTCATACCAGTGCTTTGCGGCTTCGAAGTTCCGAGTCTGCCGTTTGATCCGGACGCTGCAACATGAAATCGCAAGCCGTCGCCCAAAGCGGTTACTCCATCAGCCGCCGCCCCACTAATCGGCTCAATAGACCCTTCTTTTTTCATTCAGGAATTCGCTTTCTCACTTATTAAAATCTATTTGGGGTCCTGATCCCAGATCTATATTATCAATTTTAGTTCGAATGGCAACGAAATGCCGATAGTAGTGGCCCCATTCCCCCCTTTCCACCTCATACAACAATCCCCACTCTTCCACTCGCATTATCATTCGTCTGCTCTCGGGAAAATATGAATGAAGAAAGAAAAATAAAAGTCATAATCTATAAATTTGTCTAATCCCGTCTCTCATAACGAATCTTGGCGGGCTCCAACGGGCGCGAGAAGAGCGAGGCGTAGTCGGTGCCGATAAGGTTCCGGCTACCGTCCACGTTGCTAAACTTGAATGCGCGCACCGTCTCGGCCACAATGGTCTGAAGTTGGACGTTGGCGAACTGCTCGCCGATGCATCGATGGCGGCCGGCGCCGAAGGGCAGGTAGGGGGAACCAGCACCCTTGCTGACGAGACCATAGCCGTAGTCGATCTTCTCCTCCTCCTCCACGGCCCCGTTGCGGACGATGCTGGGCGCGTTGGGGGAGTCGGCCTCCCAGCGGTGAGGGTCCCACGCATCCGGGTTGGGGAAGTACTGGGGATCCGAGGCACTGACGCCGGGGGCCGCGAGGAGGACGTGTGACGGGGGGATGACGTACTTGGTGCCGGGGACGGGCATGGGCTGCTTGACGGCGCGCATGATGGAGTGAATCGGGGCGTGGATGCGGAGGGTCTCCTTGATGATGGCCTGGTTCAGGGGCAGCTTGGCCAGGTCCTCGTACTGCAGAGGGGGGAGGTCGGCGCCCAGGACCCGGATCTGCTCCTGCAGGAGCTCCTCCATGATCTCGGGGTTCTGGGCGAGGCGGAGCATGATCCAGGAGCTGGTGGACGAGGACGAGTGCTGGCCGGCCATGAGGAGGGCGATCATCATGTGGGCGACCTCGTGGTCCGGGACGGGGGTGCCGTTCTTGTAGGTCGAGTTCATGAGGTGCTTCATCATGTCGTGCTCCTCGTGGTCGTCGCCGTTGGCGCGGCGGTCCCTAATGATGTCCATGTAGATGCTGGCGACGGTGCGCTGGGCGTAGTCGCGCTTGCGGTTCCAGGGGAGGGGCGCCCAGTGAAGCATGAAGTTGATGGGGGTGAAGCCCATGTCCAGGTCGTGGTAGAGGGCGGCGAGGGTCTCGTCGAACCTGCTGCGGACGGCGCTGCCCTGGAGGGCGTGGGAGGCGGTGAAGATGGTGATCTCGGCCATCTTCTTGGGGATGTCGATGACTCCGGTCTTGGGCTTGAAGTCGGCGTTCTTCTTGAAATAGGACTGGACCTCGCCGGAGATGATGGGGACGTAGGATCGGAAGGCTTCGGTTGTGAGGGCAATCTTCATGAACTGTGATGAGATTCTCGTTAGTATATCACAAATTGAATGAGATAACATTTGTGAAGGTGGAATTTACCTTCTTCTGCTCCATGAGCTTTGCGTTGGGGCAATCGTACACGACATCCTTTCCGAAGACAGGGGTGGTAAGGACGGTGTAGATTTCCTCGGCGTTGACGTCCTTGAGCTTGCCATTGAGGATGAAGTCGTTGCCAGCCGGTCCGACGGCCACGGTGGTCTTCTTGCCGAGTAGGATGAAGGTAAAGGTGTCGCCAAACTAGGAATTGACTGTTAGAACAAAGTCGTACAATGGTTTTGGTGTTGCGATGTAACTCTCCCATCACATTTAAACTTTCGAGAGAGGAGGGGGTTGGTTCAAAACTCACCTTGTCGCGGTTCTCCTTGAAGAATCTGGGAGGGTCCATGCCATAAGTGACGGTGCTGCCGATGAAGGGAAACCAGTGGAAGACCATTGGGGGCTCATTGGGGTTTTTGAAGAGGATCTGGCTGAGAACATTCAGGATCACAGACAGGACGACGACCCCTCCGAACACGACGGCCACCTGCACACCGGGGCCGAGTCCCAGGAAGTGCTCGGCGAGCGGATGGGCCGCCACCTCTTGGAGAAGACCCATGATTTCTGCTACAAAATGTAATTGTCGGGCTCGAATAACTTGTGCGCGCACGACCGTAGCAAAAACTTGGGGGGAGAATTGAAAGAGAGTCGGTGTCGTTGGGTTGAGTTTCGAGGGGGAAGAAAACCAAATATTAATTTCTTATTACACGGACGGCGGTCGCTGCTAGATTTGGGGGTTCACTCCCCCCTCGGCTGGGCCCCTGGCCTAAAAAGCTTGGGTTCCTGGTCCGTGAGTGGCTGAATCTTGTTGCAGTCCGCTGGGTCCCCCCGGGCGGTGTGGGAGATCAGCCAATGACAGGTGGCCAATCGCCGTGACCCGAGATCGAGATACATATCGTATTCGGATTCGTCTTGAGATGGCAGATCTGGGATCTATGCTAAAATTTCTCCATTGGCAAAAATCATACCATGTTGACGCACTTTTTTCGAGAAAACAGCTCCGCGGAAACGGCTACCATATCGTATCTGCCTCCCCGCGTCCAGGGGAAGCGAATTCTGGAGGAGATCCCTGGATGATGCGTCAATATCCGAGGTAATCTCAGATCAAGATCAGAACCGAGAAGCATGCCAAGATGGTCCAAGATGGTTCAATGTTTATTCGATTTTTTTTGGCCTATCTATCGCCCAGGAACTAATTGAGAGGAATATTTCAAAAACTACCAAACCCGATAACAATGCAGTATAAATTCATTCTTTGTCACTCGCTATCCATTGCCACTACTTGCCGGCGAAATGGGACATCTACCTCCAGACAGATATCATGACGGACTCAACCCGCTCAAAAGTCATCATATCGAACGCTTGCAAAACGCCTCCTCTACACCTAAATAAGGTCTCAACCTGTCATAAAAATAATCCCCCGTAACGATTCATGTTTCGTCACAGAAATCATTTCATAAATTCCCGTCTTCAAATGGCTCCTCGCCCGCAACTGACAAGCAAAGGTATCATATCGTCTCGACTTACAACAGTTGTATTCGTTAAGATGCGCTCCAGACAAGCTCAGCTGGAGGCAACGAGGCTCTTACCCACAGCCCCCCATTTTAGTCTCCTCAGACCTCCCGAGGAGCTGCGCATCATTTCCTGGCCGCATGACGAGGTATCGTTGGCCGTGCTCATGCCGGCAGCCAAGGCCTCCTGGCGCCCGACTTCTCTTCCAGTCACATAGCCGACTCCGAAGCCAACCACTGAAACGAGAACGACGACGCCAGCACTGACAACCCATGTCATGAGCGTCGGCGAAACTAAGGCGTCTTCAGCCACCATGACCTTCTTCTTTCTACTCGTTCGCGGGCCCTGCCCGGCGGATGTACTTCGCTTTGTCTTGGTACCCCCTGTCCTCGAGGAGGATCTTGCACCAGGTACTGGCTTCAATGGAGGAGCGACACCGGGCTGCACATCCTCCGTTTGCGCCCGGTCAAGCTCGGACTCTGGGACAAAACGAAGGTCCATGGGCTGGTTGCTTGGGCCGACACCAGTGCCCGCTGTCCGTGGCGTCTCCAACTCCTCCTTCGCCTTTGAAGCGCCGCGCGCCGCAGCTGCACACGACAAGAGCGTGGTCAAGGATGCCCGAAGCGCGGCGTCGTTATCCTCGCGCGAGGGGGACATGAAGTTCAGCCTCTGAGAAGCCCTTGTCTGGGATCGCTGGGAGAAGGACGGCCGAGTAAATTCATTGTGCGTGTGGGGTGGGATGGCGGTGCTGGTCGAGTTGCTTCTCTGAGGATGAGGGTGGGAAAATGCGTTTGGCTGTGGGCGGAATGCCGGGCGATCTGGCGCCCTGCCCAACGCGGTTGCGTTGTCGCCATCCGACTCGCTGTCTGAGGCATCATCGCGGGGAGATCCAATAACCTCCGGGGAGGATCGCGTTCTCTCGCCAGAGCTGATCATGAGGTGATCGTCCTCGCTTTCCGTTTCCTCATATTCCTCCTGGCTGCTCGTATCGTTGCTGTGAATCGCCGTCGGCTGCTGGGGGAGAGACCGGGCGGATGCGAGGAGTCGACGGCGTCGTAGGTAAGGCGCCCCGACTCGCAAGCCGGTTGTGACGATCTCGTCGCCAATACTAGACAACGAGGAGGAGGACGGTTGGGATGACAGTTCCACCCATGATTCCGGGTTGATCATGGGTGAGCCCGGTGAGACGTGTAGGTCGGTGGCAGGCATCCCTTCAAATCGTCTCTGAGAAGGCGCAACTTGCTGGTGCGACGTTCTACTCGACTGCGACTGTGAGTTTGACTGCTGTCCGTTATGGGTTGCGTGCTCCTCCATAATGGGATATTTCGCTTTGGATATATGCGATGGTATTCTTAGGAATGGTGGTTGCGAACGAAGAACTATTGTTGTAGGTTCACGCGGTCGAGGCTCGAGGACAAAGCCGTTGAGTCGACAATGGAGGAGTCGGTGAAAGCCACCCCCGCGTTCTCAACTCCAGCGCTGCCGTTGCCTGCGTCACCCAAGCAGAGACAAACAAAGGAGACCCGGATGCTGTAAGACGGAGGGGGTGGTTTGGGGACAAGAGGCGGATGAGAGGCAGACGAAGGCGAGCTGGAAAATTAAAAGAAAAAGGAAGCGTAATCCGAAAGGGGGAACCGTACAAAGCTGATACGCGCAAGACAGATCGCATGTAGCGATGTCGGGGTTAACGTAATGTGTTGGGAAAGTGGTTGGGCCGGCCTGGTGGTGGAGAGCGGTGGGAAAGGGATAGTGCAGTTTGAGGTAGGTCGTAGGCACAGCAGCAAGGCGGCATGGACGAGGTGGATGACACACGGGGGAGGATCTCCCTTCATCAGCCCACCCTGATAGACACCGCGGTAGCAGTACTTGCGTGATTGCACCACACGTGCAGCACCAGCGCATGACCACCTCACTTGCTCAACCACCGTGAGACATGCTCTGGGACACTGGCAGCCTCCAGCGCGGGACTCGAGGCCCGTCCGGGAACACATAGAATTCAAGGTTTCCCCCTCCCGGAGCATATCACAAGCCCTCGTACAAGCCCTGCCAGAGCTGGTAGATGCCACGCTCTTTCTTCCAACTACTACCTCTCCGGGTCTACTGCTAGCGTATGCTGATGCGCCCGTTGCGCCTGGGGCTAGTCGTGGATGACGCCTCTGCCAGCCTCTGACCACCCGCCGCCTCTTCTTACCCTTCCAGGCTGCACGCCTTGTAATGAAACCCCGACCCCTTCCAGGCAGGAGGTCGCAAGCCGTGGCTTAGGAAAGGGAATAGCGCTAATGCGCCGACTGACTGCACTATGAGGCCACGGGCGCCGCCAAAGGTACTTGTACCTCTACTGACCTTACCAGAGCAGGTAGCTGATCTCACTGATTGATTATCTCAGGGACCCAGTTGCGCATCTCCATCCATGCTTAGACCAGCCTATAGATAGTCTGCGCAGGGAACACAGTCGTGCGCGCATGGGCCCCGGAGCGGGGTACTGAGCTGGATTTCCTGTTCATCCAACAGCGACCCTTCGTCATTGAGACCTGAGATGCAAGTCACGCCGTGAGCGGGATCCCAGTAGCTTACACGCAGGAAGGGGCTGCGCGCTGGGCTATTAGCAGAAACCTTAGGAACAGGCGGGATGGGCTCTTTTTCCCCAACAATCTCAGTCACACACACACCCAAGCACACCATCGTCATCATTCCCCCCTCCCAAATGTGAACATCATTCGACTTTAGCTCGGTTTGCCCATTACATGACATGCGAGACCCTCCCCCTGTTGCAGGCAGAGAGATCATACATGCATAAACCGTAACCGCATGATTTTCGCTTCGTCGGATGTTTACTTGCCCTCCCCCCTTCCCGCACCTCACACACAGACCCCCGGCATCTGCCCCGTAGCAGCACATATGTATCCCTACCTGTCAAGAGAAAGATGCAACGAAAACATGTAGGGATGGCGAGGTGATTGTCGTCTGCCGGAGAACATGAGTGGACGGCGCTGGTCAACGACGTACGTAGCACCGTAGCACCGCATCCAGAGCACATACATACGCGCCCGACTCCTGCACAATAGTGAGCGCATTTGTTAGTGATTTATCGCTGGTGGCTTTGGGCTGGAGCGAATCGCAGGTTGGTCTCGGTGGGTGCCTGTGATTTGGGATTGCTGATGATGGCTGAGATTCAGCGCACACGACCACGGCCCACTCACTCGCATGGCCCATTAAGCTAGTAATCCAAGACACGGGCCAGTAGGTAGTTTGAATGGGAACCGAGCAAGCCAAGCCACGTTCATGAGTGCGCTCAGCCCAGTTGCTGATGCAATTATTTTTTGGATACACCATTCACAGAGCAAAAGAGACAAGGTAGGTTTTGTTGGATGTAGTGGATTCTATTCAGGCTGTTCTATTCGATTACGGGTCGCGAACGTGAATAAAACTAGGTATTGTGAAATAAAAAGAAAACGCGAAATACAACGAACTTTTCCCAAACGCCGGACAGTCTCGAAAAAATGGACTGATGATGATACAATATGCCGGAAATGGAGGGCCAGGAATCGTGGTAATACTCACCGAGGCGGGAAAGTAAGCCAGAATTGATGGGTGCCAGGATACGAGAGAGGATGGAATGGGGAGTTGGATGCGCCGCCGCGTCTGATCTGTCTGTAGCGTATGGGTTAAAAAGAAAGCCCCCGAAGATTCGTTCTTTTATGAGCCCCCAGATAACCCTCAAGAGAAGTAATATCAGGCCAGCCCGACCTGGTGTTCAACCCCTCCCTCTCCAACCATCATCATCTCAAGAGATGAGAGTATGAAGATCTTGGGTTGATATCCAGGTAGGCCAGCCGCCGTCAGATCCCTCAGAAGCCAACTGGTTGAGACGATACGAAGAATCAACTTCGTAACGCTCGTCTGCGTCCCACGTGATGCGATGCGTACATGATCAAAAAGCCACAGAATGCTCAGAGAGCCGGTCAGACCGGTTCTAGAGACATGACACCCACAAGCCAACGGTTCAAGTAAAGAAGCCCCCAGGTCTATCATCGTCGTCCGCCACGCCAGGGAAGCGAACGATATCTCAAAGCCCACAGCTCCAGGTCGGAGCTACCAACTTGCTGAATAGATAGGGCGGGTCAACAGGGACCCGTCCCACTGGGTTTTCACACCACCACCCGAGAGCCCTCAGATCCATCATTTGTTTAGTCAAAGGTGACCTTGGTGCCAGAGTAGCCACCACGGCTGGCACCGAAGCCGCCTCGGCCACCACCACGACCACCACCGCGACCACCTCCACCGCGGCCACCGAAGTTGCCACGGCCACCACCACGACCGCCGCCACGACCGCCGAATCCTCCACGGCCACCGCCGCGACCACCGCCAGGACCGTCACGAGGGGGACGAGCACCAGCAAAGTCAAGGCGCAGGTTTCTAGACGAACGCCCCTCGCCGATGTAAGCTCCGTTCTTCTCCTCGTAGGCAGCCTTGGCATCCTCGATAGAAGCAAATGAGACATATCCGAAGCCCTTGAGGTTACCAGAGTCACTAGGATGAGTTAGCAAGCCGTAGATACAATCCGAGTTGAAAAGAGAAAAAGACTTACGGGTCGGTAGGGAGGCGAACGCTGACAACCTCGCGAACCTCGCTGAAGAACTGGTGGACGGTGTCCTGGTCAATGTCGAAAGGCAGGTTACCGACGAAGAGGGTATCGCTCTCGGGGCTGACGGTGTCACCGTGGCGCTTGGCACGGTCGGCAGCACGGGCCTGGGTAGTAGCCTCGGCGGGACGGGCGTTGGCGTAGTCAAGGTTGAGGGCACGGCCCTGGAGGTCCTGGCCCTGCATGGCCTCGTAAGCCTTGGTGCAAGACTCGGCATCAGAGAAGTCGACGTAGCCGAAGCCCTTGCTGCGGCCGGTGTGCTTGTCCCAGACAACGCGAGCGCCGACGAGACCCTCGAAGTCCTTGAAGGCCTCGTTGAGGGCGTCGTCATCGATGCCCCAGCTCAAGCTGCCAGCGAACAGAGTAGTAGGGCCGTCAGTCTTGGTCTTCTTGGCGCTGGCGTCGTTCTCATCATCCTCAGCCTTGCGCTTCTTGGATGCCTCAGGGGCAGCCTTCTTCTCAGACTCCTCGGAGTCGTCGCTGCTGTCATCAGAATCGTCCTCGGAGTCGTCAGAGTCCTCGTCGGAGGAAGCTTCCTATTGTATATTATTAGACAATTGAACCCGGCAATGACAATTTGCATGTTTGCTCACCTTCTTCTCAGCCTTCTTAGCAGCAGGCTCCTCATCCTCGCTCTCATCGTCACTGGAGTCGGAGTCGGAGTCAGACTCGGATTCAGACTCTTCCTTCTTGGCAGGGGCAGCCTTGGCCTTAGCCTTGCCGTTAACGGCAGGCTTCTTGGTCTCCTCCTCAGACTCAGAGTCGGAGCTGTCGGAATCAGAGTCCTCCTCCTCTTCCTCAGAGGACTCGGAGTCAGAAGACTCCTCCTTCTTGGCAGGGGCGGCCTTGGCCTTCTTGCCGTTGGTGACGGGCTTCTTGGTCTCAGCCTCAGACTCGGAAGAGTCAGAGCTGTCAGAGGAGTCGTCGGCCTCGGACTCAGAAGACTCCGACTCCTCAGAGGAAGACTCAGGCTCGACAACCTTCTTCTTGGGCTTCTTTTCCTCCTTCACAAGCTTCTTGGCGGCAGACTTGGCCAGCTCCTTGGACTTGGACTTGGAGCTCTGGGATGCCTTCTTGATGCCGGCATCCTTGACAGCAGGAGGGGCGACCTTCTTGCTGACCTTGGTCTCCTTGGTCTTCGTCTTGCCCATTGTGAATGATTGAAAGGGGAATATGTATTAAACTTAGAAAATGAGGAAAATGATCTTTCTGAAGTCCCAAGGGCAAAATTTTATACGGGCAGAGGTGAAATGGGAGAGAGGTTGGGGGTGGGAGAAAAATTCGCTTCCTTCGCGCAGGTTTTATGGCGGCTGGCGTTGATCAGTTTTTTTTTTTTTTTGACCAGCCAAAAGGTGGGGCAGGCGAAAGCGGTGAGAATAGCCGCTCCACCAGGGGTCGCATGAGTGCGACACAAAAGGTACTTCGGTACTTGCAATGACCGAGTTTCCGCCTGAGCAATCAGGTCGCAACGATTGGCTCCAAGCAACCGGCCGAAGCTCGAAGCGTAACCGCACAATCAGGTGTCGTCAGTGGTCGGAACCAACGCAATCAGCCTCGACAACTATATCGCATCGCGAAACGGATACTGGAATATCTCACAGCCGTCCAAGACAAAATATACCGCCAGAATGCCGACCCCCGAGTCCGAGAGCTTCAAGAGCATGAAGCCCAAGGTCCCTCCCACCTTCAACGGAGTCGACTACGATGACACCAAGGCCTTCAAGGCTGCCGAGGATTCCATCATTCGCGAACAATGGGTTGGTGCCATGATGATCCGTCTGGTTGGCGAGGAATTGGGCAAGTGCTACAACCGTGAGGGCGTCAACCACCTGGAGAACTGCGGCAAATTGAGAGGTTAGTTGGATTCGCTGTTTGCGGGCTCAGACACGGCGGCATAGCTGACAATTCTATTCAGAGAGATATCTTCAGCTTCTGGAGACCAACAAGATCCCGGGAACCAAGGGTCTCCAACTAAACTACATCACCAAGCGAGATGAGGAGATTGATCTCGAGGCCAAGGTGCACCCCATCAACAAGATCGCCAAGCTAAGGGAGGACCCCAAGAACGCCAGGCCATAAATGTATCAAGAGATGGACTAAGTTGAATAAATTTTTGAAAGGGACGGGCTCTTTCCCTCTTACGGCGCTGCCATTGGGAGCCCAAGTGGTTTGGCAAAAGAGGATGGATAGCAGGATATCTCACCCGGGCCAGCGCTTCGGGCTGATGACCTGTATGACTGTAATACCAAGACAAACTTTTGAAACCACCTCTGTGTATCACAACCAATTGGTAGATCTACGTAAAATCCATGCATGCCCAGCACTTTCTGACGTCCCGTATCCTCTTCCCGGATTCTAGTTGAGCGGCTGCATACCCACGAGGCTGACAATCCGGCGCAAGACCCGCTTTGATTGGCCAGTAGAGCACCACCACTACCAAAATTTCTCCCGGGACCGCTTTGCGCCTCGTCTCCAGTCAAAACGTCCCTCCATCACCGGCACGCGACCACGACAAATCACACCACCATGTTCTGCACCAGATGTCTGCGAAGCCCGGTGCTCCGGCGGCAGGTCCCAGCCGTGCGCCAGTTCTCCGTTTCCACACCCTTCCGTTCCGTCGAGCAACCACCCCTCTCGACTCCCACCACCGCCCCCGGTGAGCAACCGAAGGCGGCGGCGATACCCAAGTCCAGCTGCCCGGAAGGCACCGTCCTCACGGGTCTCAACTTTCTCAAGAGCGGCCAGGACCCAGTGGCGCTGAAGGACGAGGACTACCCCGCATGGCTGTGGGATTGCCTGGATGTGATGAAGAAGAGCTCAGACGGGGCAGCCGATGACGCAGGAGACGAATTCTGTACGGACCAATTCATTCCCTTTCTATACCCCCTCCGCCTACACATATGTAGTGTTTGGGGATTCACTTGCTCTACCATGCTAATACAGGACGAAAACAGCCAAGTCAAAGAAACAACGAAAACTAGCCGCCAAGCGAAAGCTAGCCCTCGAGGCCGAGCTCCTCGCCCAGGGAAACCTCGAGGCCCTGGCCCCCAAGATCCCCCTGCCACAGCAGTCCATCAACCTGCCGGGCGAGGAGAACAGCTCCGTCCAGCACAACATCGAGGCCGCGGAGAAGCGGAACGAGCTAAGAAAGGCCATGCGGAAAGAGAGGAAGGCCAAGATCAAGGAGTCCAACTACCTGAAGTCGATGTAAAAGGGTAGCTGTATGTGGGTGATTCCTCGATTGCATGAAAAGGGTATATTGGGGAGCATATGTACATTATATTGCCAGCGGCTTGTACTAGAAAATGATTCATAATGAAACGCATTGGTCTTGTTACTTGGCTATGTGATATCACGGTCCATCCCATCTTTGCCAATGGTTTGACATGGAGATTCAAAGGTCGATCCTCTCTCCTTCACAGAGCAGAATGTCGATATCCTAAAATCAGGAAAATGAGAGTAAATCGTCGGTATTTTTTTAATCTGCAGTTGTGTCTCCTGGAAGCCCATGTATCTATATTGGAATTGATCGCTCTTTACAAGCCAAGAAATACGTGACACTCCCCCCTGAGAACCCAATTCTAAACTACAATCATACAATCCCATCAACGACCAACAGCCGTTTCCAGTTACAGGGCACTTAAATCCAATGGCACACTGCTGCCCCGGCCGGCTCTGTAATTTCTAGGACGCTTGATGAAGTCCCTAGGTTTAGGAAGTAGGCTTTCGTCTTTGAATATCCACCTATTGTCAGAGACAACAATTCTCCCATACCCACTTCCACCAACACTGCCACTTGGGCTATGGCCGTGCTGGGGCGTGGGGCTTGGAGATTTGGAGCCGTTTGCACTAAGAGTGAACGCACTGGGATCAAGCATTGTCTGCCGGAGGGAAGATCCCCGAGCTCGGCCTGACACTGATGATGGCGGTGGTGAGTTTGGTGCAGGCGGCGCTGGAGCACCTGGTGGAGCTGGTGCTGCTGATGGCGGCGGCGGTGGAGGAGGTGCCGGAGGTGCTGAGTTTGGTGATGATGTCTGGCTTGCAGCTCGAATAGCGGCCTGAGTAGCGAGAGAGGCAGGAGGATGAGCAGCAGCAGGCGGAGGTGGTGGTGGCGGGGGCTGCGCTCGTGGTACTGGGGAAGGGATTGGCCTGGGAGGCGCCGCTGAGGGCGGAGGAGGAGGAGGTGCTGCTGGAGCTGAAGATGGAGGGGGCGGAGGAGGAGCGAGAGGTGAGGCGGTGGGTGGAGGCGGAGGTGCCAATGTGGGTGAAGGCGAGGCCAAGGAAGATGGTTTGCGGGATGTTGGGAGTGGCGGTGGTTTCTTCCCTATCGGCGGAGGAGGTTTCTTTGTTGCTGGTGGTTTCGGTCTCCCAGGAATAGCTGGCGCAGAGCTGGTCGGAGGCTTTGGCGCAGAACCAATTGGCGGCCTTGGGGCAGACGAATTCGTTTCCCCGGGATCAGAGAGGTACGACGAGTCTCGATTCGCCCCTGTATCAATTCCTCCTCCCCTCTTCTTCAGCTTGGGCATGCCCCCGGCGAAGAGACCTCCCAGTTGTGGTGCCGCATCGACACTCGGTGCGGCCGGAGCGGAACCATGATCACTATTGCTTCTCGCTCGATTGCCCGGCACTGGGGGGGCCAAACCACCCGGTGGCTTCGGTGCTCCGCCAAGGACGGGAATCGGGGGTGCACCTCCCACTGGAGGACCTGATGAGGAGGATGTGCTACTTGCCACCTGGGGGGCTGATCTGTCGTTCGTTACGGTTTTCTTCAGCGCTTTTCCCTTGGTAATATCTGAAAGTAGAGCGCCCTATCGGAGGTTAGACTTTTGACTGAAGCTGAGGTTGACGGGAGAGCGCAACGTACCCTGCCTGGTGCGCCGGCTGGCGGTCGGGCAGGCAAACCGCCAGGAGGAGGGGGGGGAGGAGGAGGGCCTCCAGCACCTGGGGGCGGAGGTGGTGGAGGAGGTGGAGGTGGAGGCATCGTAGAGTCGCAACTCCAGGCGATATTTAGATCCCCTTCTTGGTTTCCGTGTGAATTGTGTTTCCGCTATATCGAGCCGTTGAGAGACCTCGAAGACATTGGCTGAGACAACGAGGCTATGGGTTGGGCGCCGAAGGAGAAGACGAGGAGTGATAATACCCCGTCTTATTTGGTCCAAATGCCTAGCCTGCGTAGGGCCAGTATTTCTAAACCAAGGCTCGACCACAAGACGAAGAAAGACGTCTGGTGTGAGAGATGTAGGAACAAGAGGGCCGGTTAGATGTAGATCTCAGGTTTCGTCATCCCATTCACTCTGCAGGCACCGACTTGCCCGCTTACCCTGCAACAATACGGTGTGTTAGGTACCAACAGGGACCCGCAGGACTCCATTGCGCGTGCCTCCAAGCCACAGCGCTGAAGGACCTGCGTTTTAGTGGGAAAGCGACCGAGAGCCCCACCATTTAACACCAGGACCCTCATTGGTCCCCGTTTTAATCGATGCCCCACCCTGCGATCCAAAAGTTGAGCAGTTCAAGATTCCGCCTTCGCGGCTTGTCAACCGCAGTCAAGATCTGGATGCAAGTAGGCCTGGCATCCCTCTGCCCCGACCGTCACAATGCGACACCTACAGCCTCGGAGAATTGGCTCTGTCTGCCAGTTTTGCTCTCCCACGCTCCCTCGAGCAGCCCGCGAACCTTTAATAGTACGCTCCCTCAACACCAAAGCAACCACCTCCCGCTCTCCTACGATTCGTCGACTTGCGCCGTCGTCCTTGGTTGGGGCAAGGGCTTTCGCTACCGCTTCTTCTCAAACCGAATCGCCTCAGTCTTCGAACGCCACAAATCCTACAAAAGCACTCCGAAAATCCTCTACCCCCACCGAGTTAGCCAACTCGATAGACGGAAGCCGCGAGCAGTTCTTGGCTGGAGTTGAGAACATCCATGGAAATCAATTGGCCTCCCACGCCCTCCAGTCTTGTCTTCAAGCAGCATCGGCGCTCCATCCCCAATTAAGGCGGGCTCAAAGTCAGGCACAGGCGTCGGCTTCCCGCCTTGCCCTCCTCGGCGCGGAGAGGACGGGATCCAAGTTCGCTATCAATGCCGATCTCATGGCGGCAAGCGACAAGATCTCGCAAACAGCCTACCAATTAGTCTCTCATAAGAATGTGGAGATGACCTCGGATATTCTTGAGCTCTACGTAAATGTGCAAGCACAGCTTGGTCGTCCCGAAACACTCCCCGCCGTGTTTGAACTCTATGCCAACAAGGCCAAGCCTCAGATGCGCAACGGCCAGCTGCAGTACATCCCCCAGAACCCCAACGGGGCCGCGAAGGCAATCGAAAAGCCCGTTGCGGACCTGGCCCTTGCGACAGCAATCGACGCCAGAAATCTTGATGCCGCCCTGGGCATCACTGAGGCTGCATTCTGCGTTAAAGCATTCAAGCGCCAGAAGCTGCTGAAGCACGCTACGGCCCCTGCTATTGGTCTTGCCTCACTTCCCTTTGGCATCTATGGTCTAGCCACTGCTTATGCCACGTACTGGCAAAACACCATGGACGTCAGTACAGCCACAGGTGTTGGTATCGCAGGTATCTCCGGATATTTCTTCGTCACGGGAGGTCTAGGTATAATTGCCAAGCTCAGTGCCAAAGAACAGATGCGCCGCGTGACATGGTTGCCCGGAACACCGCTTCGCTTTCGGTGGATGAGGGAGGAAGAGAGAGAAGCCCTGGACAAGATTGCATGCGCGTGGGGTTTCAAGGAGTCATGGAGGCACGGAGAGGAATCAGGCCCGGATTGGGAAGGCTTGAGAGAGTATATGGGATACAGGCAGATGATCCTGGATCGGGTAGAGTTCATGGAGGGTATGAACTAAGACTGGGCGGGCGCAATGTCATGTTGATGCTTCCATTTGTCTGGTTATGTAGCATCAGAAACTGTAAATATATTCAAGAGAAGGAAAAGGTATCAACTCCCAAAGACATGTTAGATATTCGCGAGTTAAAAAGAAGAAGAAGGCTCAACCAAACAGCTATGAGAAAACATTCTGGGCTGCATCCGACATAGCCACCCACCGTGACACAGACACAACAACATGAAAACGCCCTTTTCGAAGTGAAGGGGCCATCTATTTGGCATGGTGTGCTCTAACCTGACTTCAATCCAGTCTAGACAAAATCTAGAACTTGTATGGTCTTAATATTCCCGGGGAATATTCATTGACTTAATTTCCTTCTAAATCGCCGAGGGGTGTCCTAGTGTTTCTTTGTCCTTCGCCTCGCTACACTGAGGCTCTGTTTGTTCCAATCATTTGGGTTCATAAACGTACAGACACGGTTTCATTGGCAAACTATGAAGAGTACTTTCAGGACCAAGAGATGACAAAGGATCCAGTTCTAAGATTTCAATTTCAGCGTTGGTTACCAGCCAACCTGACCTGGCCAGCCTCCAAAGTATCGGAACACATCCTAAATTATTGGTTAGGAAATTGAACATCAAATCGAGGGTTCAAATGATCATCTGCCGACTCCAGTTGACTTCGTCTGCATAGGTACGGCTGTTCTGGTACTAAAATAGAAGCACCTAGACGCTCTATTACTACAACCAGGAGTCTCGGATAATAAGATGATCATTTCGAGCTGGCTAGGCTTGAAAATATTCGAAAGTTTCGCGACGTTTCCTTACGCTTTCAACGACCATCCCTAATCTATGTTCATCAATCGACCTGTTCGTTCTGCAAGTGGCAGCGTACGCCCCCAGTCCTGGCCATACGCACGCAGGCGACTGACATAAAACATGGCACACCCAGAACCTCCAGTATTGAATTTTAATATAATATTAATATAAGATGCAAATAATTAACTAGTAATAAATAGAATATTAGCTAAATACTATAGATAGTATTGTGGATAAGAAAGTGAGGTCTCTGACTGTGTGAACAGAGCTTTGGTGTGCTATGTCTTATGTCACTTGCCTGGCACGTATAGCTAAGAGAATATAATGGCAGCGCCACAAAACTCAAACTCTTCCTTCCTTTAACCTTTATTCCTCTTCTATCAGTTCCAACAGAAGCATTGAAGTGAGCTTCGAATCATCCATTCCAATTTGGAAACTCATTCGTTCCCACCGTGTCAACTCAGCTTCAACGCCCAGCACGTGCCAATGGCTCGCCCTCATCATAAAGCTCAGGTTGCCAGAAGTACGGAGTATGGGATAGATTCAGTTGCTGAAATTGGACTGTTCGATGCTAACAATCTCCTCTCTCGAGGTTACCCATCTTGTTCAAAACTCTGAGACCAAGTGGAACACCTCGCCAGGCAGTCCCGAATCTACATCATCGAGGACCAGGACCAGCTTGGCAGCCGATTACACCGGCATCTTTTGCTCCCTGGCTGGCTCACGTGGGATTTGGGCCTTGTTCGCAGCCTAAAGCTAATCAGACCGAAGCCAAACTCCTTCATTCCGAAAAACGGTTCATCGGTACGTTCCAATGATCTCATTACAAACAGTCAACATCTATACAGAGGGTAGATGCCCCAGTGTGAGCTCTGACTTTCTAATGGAGGCGACGTTGATCAGTACAGCGAAGAGCCGTATAGTTCAAATTTCCCCTTTCCAGTGTATGAAGAGATCAATGATAGAAGCATTCAATTCCCATACCAAGTGCCTCTCATTCAATTTTGAGCTGGACGGCTTCACCCCTCGCGATGCTTACAGGATGCCTTGTGGTAGAATACTCAACATCACTCAGATTCAACTAACCCCCTCAAGCGACTGGCTTGAATCTGACCAAGTTTCAATTAAGAATCAGAGGCTAACATCCTCATGCTCAATGTCCACACCACTACATCGAGGGACCTAGCTGGCGAGGTCACTCCAAGGTTATTCGATATCTCCGAAGTTAGGCGGGTCGGTGAAAGATAAATAAGATGGCTTTTTGACTGTGACCGACCACATCATTAAGCTCGGGGGGGTGGGAAAGGACTCGTATAAACAGAAGATGGTACGGATCACATGCCAAGCCCAGTCCCTCGAGTGTTCGTAGAAAATTGGCTAATACGTAGGGTAGACCCGAATTGAGGCTGTTGCGAATACTCTCAGCACTTCCTAGAGTGGCTTTTGTGGGGAATGAAACGGCAGGCTAGAAAGAGATGGAGCTATTTCCCCAAGCGAGACTCTATTTCGGAAAGAATTGTATGTCAGGTACCTAAGAAACAGATGCACTACGGAGTAATGAAGTATATGGTTCATTGGAAAGGATTTGGACATGAGCACGACCAATGGATCGGAAAAACAAGCAGCCAAACTGAAAGAGGTACTCGAGGCAGCGGACGTCTGGAGAGACAGAGGAATCATACCCATGGCAGAAGAAGAGAAGATGCGTGTCGATTTTGTCGAGGGCTGGCAAAACTTGAAAGTGTCGGCCAAAGCGTACCCATTGGGCGTTGAAGACAGGAAAGTTCTTGATGAGAAACACGACGAATTACAGGATCGAGGCAAAATGGACTGGATGGACCAGCCAACGAGATTTTGCAGCCCTGTCTTCGTGACATGGAGAGTCGTCCTTTCCACTTCCGTTCCATGTCGCGGATATATTCCGTCGTCTGGGTGGCCGCTGCTTTCATCCTCCATGCGAGGATGCGTAGGCGGTGGTACTCCTGCCTGTTTCCTGTGTTCAGCGCCAATGCGTGGGCGTCGTTGGCCAGGTCCCAGAATGGGTTGCTTGACCAGTGCGGAGGCATGTTCGCGAGTCTTGTCTTCTCATGTACGCAGCTAGTGACATTAATGTTCATCATTCCCTCCACCTGTTTGCGAAGATCTGCCACTCCCATGTACATCGTTCGCTCCAATATGAAGAGCGCGGCAATCGGCAGAAGTCGCGTAAGGCAGGGACCTAAATTTTTTACTAAATATAATAATAAGAGAATAATAAACTATTCTATAATATCTAGCTTGATATTATATTCAGTGCTAGGTTATTTATTGTGATACTGTGTTTAAATTCAATACTGAACTATCTCGATGTGCCAAATTTTATTCCACCCACTTGGTAGACTGAAAGTACACACATGTGAGAAATGATCGTCGGCGGGTTTTCCTCATCAGTCTCACCGTCGGGCCAATTGGATCTCATGCATCAAGCTCGAACACTACCAATGAGGCAAGTACTTCAGCCGCAATATGCATGAATCAGAATGTAGGTAATTAATCACATTTCAGAATCATGGCGACATGAATATACTTTCACGTGCAGGATTGTTGCGGTACAGGGTAAACCAGATGTGGCAAAGTGGCAGTTGGGAGGCGATAAGCTTAGGTTGGTCCATAACGAAAATTAAGCCCAACCGTTGCAAGCGCCTCCACTACAGCGACTGCTCAACAGTCGAAGTTCTTCCGTAGTATAGTGGTCAGTATGCAAGCTTGTCACGCTTGAGACCCGGGTTCAATTCCCGGCGGGAGAGTCCGCCAGACAGCCTTAGCTGTTGAACACTTTTTTGCAGAATTTCCTTTTGTTCTCACCACCAGCTGTTGGCAGTTCATTTTTTATGGCGTTCACATTATCCTCTTCCCACCGGGAATTACCAGCCTTGCTAGTGAGTTTTCAAATATGCTGTGAATCGTGAACAAGCCCGGGTGGCTGAGTGAGAGAAGTGAAATCGTATCTCTACACAGTGACACAAATATTGTAGAGTGAACACTCGCCTCGGTGGGTTTTTTGTACTCATTTCTTGGTACAAACACAGTTCCTAATGAACCATGTACTTGCTGCCTTTGAAAGGTGCTGTTCCTACACACAGACACACTCACTGGGGCAAATAACCCACTTCCCCGTTCTTTGTCCTACACAACAAACATTGCCCAAAACATGAGAAACCTTGAATTTGAACAGAGCGCGCCTCCAGATAGATCTCCAAACATCCCTTCCTTCACCAGAACAGGCGCCCCCCTTCATGATGTGCAAATATTTAACAAGACTTGCCTTCCAGTGCGACGCAGAGCAGTTTACTCTACATCAATCCAAACTCGCTTTGGTAGCAGCACATCGCAGTGATACACACCCTCAAGTCTTGACAATCCAACTCAAAACGACACAGTCAGGCGCCTGAAACTCTTCTTCATCTTGTTGAATCTTGTTCTCTTGGAAAAATCTCTCCTAGAACTACATACGCAATCCTCTCCTGGAAAAAAATCATTTCACTATGTCAAGACTCTCAATCTGCACAAACTTCTCTTCCACCCTCAGCTTCCCCGACACCGACACGAGGAGACCAGCCAGCCCCCAGCTGAGTGCTGGACCCATCTTCGCCGGCTCTACCATCCACCATGACCTCACCCTACCGACCTTCGATCCCGAGACTGGCCTGGACCTCTTCCCTCGCCTACCAGAGGAGGACGATGAAGACGTAGACAGCCCTCTCAGCGCCAGTTCATCCAACGACGGGGACATCACCGGCGAAGAGATCACCATGGACAGCAAAATCAACGAGGGGAGCGGGACCAGCCTCCGCAGGAACCTGTCCGCCCGCCTCGCCCACTTCCTACCCAAGGCATGGTCGGCGCCTTCGTCCCCCGTCGACTCCGAGCCGGACCAGCCAGCGCAGCAGGAAGAAGAGGTCCGGAGCCACAGCCCCACGTACTGCAAGCATACCTGGAATCGGGATTGCAGGTGCCCCGTCATCTTGAGCTCCAGCGAGGGCGGCTATTGTTGGTCTTGCCGGGGGCAAAGATGTGCTGCTGGCAGCTCTTCTCTACGGGCGGCTCAACTCTTGGAGATTACAGCCCAGTGACTAGATACTGGCTTGTCCTTGTTGGAAACCTTGTCACAAGGCATGTATCCATATTGTTTCGTAGCAAAGTGTATTATATCAGGTGGTTCAATGGGAATACGGCTCTGTTCATAGTCACCGCCAAGAGTGCGCTGATAGATGTGAACAAGAGAAATGTGCACCGCCGGCGGTTCAGTCATATAAATGAAAAGAATCTTGAAAAATAGAATTGTCCATACATTATTCGCTTCTAAATGCTCAAATACACTCATTCTTTTCGGCACCATTAGCCAATATCATTACACATGGTAAGAAAAAAAACAGTAATAACCACAGCACGCCAGGTCTTGCGCCTCGCATTCAAAATCCGTTCCCATGCTGCTCATCGTCATACAATCTACCCTGGTTGGTATAGTCTATCCAGAGCAGTGTAGATTTTTGTAAAAAGGAAAAGTAAGTGAGCAAACTCCCAAAATAAAAAGAAAGAAAGCAACGTTTGTCATTGGTCGATTCTCCCATTGGTATTGTTCTTAGCCTGTGACCCGTCTCACCCACAGTGTTCCGGTGTTGTGTTCTAACTCTCGATCTTGTCGTCTATAGGCACGATGCAGCTTCAAGCCAAGCACGTATTCTTGTTGTTGAATGTCTGAGAGTTCTTGCTTCATGACTTCGACCTTTCTCTTCTCCTCCTCACGCTTTCGCTGTACTTCGGCACTGACAATCAACATATCCTTGGGCATTAACTCGGTCAACTGCTTAATACTTTTAGTCAGATTGACTCGTCGAATTGCAAGGCTCTCTAGCTGAGAGCTGAGGAAGGTAATGCGATCTTCAGGTTCAAGTGGCTCAGAAGGTACTGGTGGCAGCTCCTTCTCCGCCTCCGCCTCCGCCTTCTTTTCGGCCTCCTGTTCGGCGATTGTTGCCGTCTTGAGAGAGATGACAATGGCGTTGTCCATCATTGCAGCAGGACTATTGCGTCCGGGAATGGGTCTTTTGCGTTCCATGACTGACACGATGGGCATGCTCTTGATGGGAATTTCGACCTCCTCTTCATCAGAGTTGGATGGGACAGTCTCCGGGGACCATTCATCTCTTGCTGGCGGAGGTGGTGGCGGAGGGGGCTGTCGTCCAAATGGATCTCCACTGGCCAGCCGTCTCCAAGTGGCCTCATCATCATCATCATTTGCTGGATTATCTGAATATATGGAGCTTGAAGTAGAGAGTTGGGGAGCATGTGCAGGAGTTCTGGGGCCGATGGATTTTCTTGGGATATTGAACTGTCCAGGTACACCAAGATTTGAGGGCGCTGCGGGAGCGGATGGTGTGGACATTGACGAGTCTCGGGGCGGCCACTGCTGAGGTGATGGTGCAATTTGCGTAGGCTTCGCATTTGCATACGCCTGAGGTGTGATGGGAACACCGGACTTGGGAGTTTCGAATGCAGGACTGTTACCCCTCGATCTGTCTGCAGCTGGGGCCGTCTTTATTGGCATCAGCCTTCGAACTGCAGCAGTGGCTGCAGCAGAAGCACCTTCATTGATATCCGTGACTGGCAAGTTCACAGGGGTTCTGACACGCTCATTCCGTTTGGCGCTCTTGGGCGGAATTTTTAGAGGAGCAGCATTTAGATCATCTCGGACAGGCGAGACTTGTGCTTCTCGGCCGCTGGCCCCGTTCCATGCTGGCCGGCTCTGGATAGGCTCTGCTTTCCCTCTACCAAACTGGTGACGCATCCGCTGTCCGAAGGAAGCGGTATTGGGGTTACTGACCTGACGTCGATCCTGAGATCCCGACATCACGGTTGTCGTGGTTCCAAATTTTGGGGCACGCTCCGGTGGTCCTGCCGGTGCCTCAGATCTGGGGTTCGTCGGATCGTCCCAGCCCATGGGCTGAGAGGGCTTTGGTAATGGCTCGTCGCCGGGTCGAGGGCTGTGTCGTTGGTCTTTGTTTGCTTGGGCGTGAGCAGCATCTCGCTGTTTTCGTCTTTCGCGGCGCATCGTGGGAATGCTCGTTTTGCCAATGCCGGACCTCGGACCTGAAATTACTTGGGTATGTTGTTGGTGATCGTCGTCTTCAGTTAGTTGTGTATGCACACCTCTTGGTGCTTGATATGATGCTTGCGTTGGTGGTTGATTTGATTCTAGCTGTCTCTGGAACACATCAGGTTCATCGTCAATCGGTGAGACATCGTAGTCCATGTACCTAGCGCACGTTGATGAGCGGTCAGCCGAGGCTCGAACCTAAAACGATAGGCTCGTGCGAGCGAGCAAGCATGAAAAAAGAGGGTAGGTTAGATTGGATGTGAGAGGAAACTGTCGGGGCTTAAAAAGCTGCCAAGGGGGGCCCAACACGATACGTTTCGGAGCGGGGGTGAGATTAAGCGACAGATGGGTAGTTGGTACGTAGAGTAGGATGTTAATATAACATGGGGTGTCAAATGTGGCACGTACTCATTATTGCCATCAAACGGTTCCGGTGAACTTGGAGGCGATACGGGCTCTAGGGCTGCTCCAGAACCTGACGTGTACGGATACATAACGGTGCTCTGCGGGTAGAGATGAGCGATGCCGTTGAGCTGATGTTCATCAAGATAGACGGAGGAAGCTGGACGCCAGTCGGAGACGCATTTAGGATGGCGATGGCCCCCGAATGGCGGCTGGGTTTGTTGCTGCGACCACAGAGAAACTGGGACGAGATTGGTGGTGGTGACGATGTTCGACCTGTTGGAGGAAAGAAGGATAAAGTCGGGTCAGCCGCAAATTTCTGTAGGATGATGGTGTGGCGCCGTGAAATTAATGGACAGGTGCAGATTAAAGGACTTTGCAGTGTGTCCTTGGGTGCGACTCTGATGTTGAGGTTACACGGTTGCCAACAGTCGTGCTCGTGCGACAACCATTGCAGGATCGGCGCGGCTGTGCTGCGGTGGTGGTGACGGGGGAGAAAAAAAAAAGCCTGACCCAATGGCCAGCGCTCGTGTTGCCTGAACAAACCAGACAAGACCAGACGATGCACGGGCACGTTCTCGCCGACGAGAGAGGAGAGAAGAGAAAGAATAGCAACTAGGCCACCTACATTGACAAAGGGTCCCCGCCTGTGTTTGGCTACTGCTATTTTCGTAGGGGGGAAGCCTGCGGAGGGTCAAGTGGCCATCAACCAGGGGTGTCGTGAGGTCGTCGAGGTAAGGTACGGTAATCTGCTGTCGTCGAGTGGAGCGTGCCGACGGCTGCGTTGCCGAGAAGAGAGCGTTTCGGGGCGAGGCGGGAGGGGAAGGGGAGGAAGGAGAACCAGAAGGGGGAGAGGGACTGGGCGCGAGGGCGAGGGAGGGAGGCAAGGTAAATAGTGAAGATGCGTGAGGATGGTCTAAGGCACAAATACGAGGGTGCTCTGGAGGTGCTACCTACCCTAGCAAGTAGGTCGAGACGGGACTGAGAGCTGGAGGTTGCATGAGAGAGCGATCCCACTAGTTATTACCTATTACCTAGTGGCCGTTTGGCTTGGGCTCCACTTGGACCAGGAAAGCCCCAAGCCAGTGCAGTGGATGAATGTGAAAAGAAGTTGGAGGAGGAGTGCAGAATCATCGGGGCTAAGAATACCAAGGTGCTAAACCCAACTCGAACCGTCAAGCGACATGCCGGCGGCGGCACACTCCACCAGGTGGTAGACGCCGCCCAGAGCTGAAATAATCCAAGCCTACCTGCCGTGCTACGACTAATACCCAGGCACCCGGGACCGCCCAGCCAGCGCTCGCTCCAATTGGCAATCTCTACATTACTGGGTGGCCTGCGCGGATCGGCGGCCTTGTTCCATCACATGTTCGTGGCCAGCAGTCGCAGCCGGAGGCATCTGGGGCCTGGCGATAGGCTGTGGGAAGGAGCGACGGGGGAGACACGGGTGGTACCTGGTGCCGTTCTCGCAACCACTTGCCTTACATGAGGGTGAGGTGGTTACGTAGGAGGTCGCAGCGCGTGAGCAGCCAGCAGGTAGATGGAGGTACTAGGCAGGGGCACTTGCAGGTGCAACAGACCGACAAAGGCCCTGGGGCTACTCGCCTGTACGCTCTCGAGGTGCCGTGCAGTGCTGTGGAGGTGCTGCAATGCAGGTCCCTCCCGGCTCGCCATGCAGGCTGAACCATGGCTGGCCATCGCAGCACCTATTGATATCCCGCGGCATCATCTATTGGCAATGGAGAGATGCCTACATGCGCAGGTCCTAGCAGGAGGTAGCATCGGCAGTACGACGCAGCTAATTACACATCATTATTGCTGCCCACCGAGTAGGATGGGTATTGGGTTGCGGTGGGGACTTGGGCGTTCTGCGTGCTATTCTTAGCACCATTAATTAGCCCATCTGCCTGGACAAGAGTCTTGCCCCATTCCAAGTTCCAAGGGAATCCAGCTAAAGAATACCTACCAAGAAGGTAATTACCTACCGCACGCGCCGAGTCACGTCCCTTCCATCGTTGGATCTCCAATGCTCGGCAGGGATCTGGCTGGACGCTGACGCCAGTCGCATCCGGTGCTTATTCACAAAGGCCCATGCGATAGCGAGATGTGCGCCAACAGGCGGGGGACAGCCAAAGGACAAAACAAGAGAAAAACAGAAGCAGATCGAGAGGCCGCTGTCAGCTCGACCCGAGCGTCTATGTCGCGGCGCCATGCGGTCTGAAGAGTCATCTCTGATGTGAGAACCACTGGCTCATTTCTTTTCACGACCCGCAGGTTGTCTGTTTCAAAAGCTGGAAAAGTCGGGCTTGTCGGCTGTCAGGCCATCGCCCATGACCCTCTCACCCCCCTGTAGGAACTGCAGAGTGGGCTGTGTTGCTTGATTTCCTTGCCATCGGAGCCAACTCATCCCATCTGCTTCCGCTCTGAGCGCAGGGGGGCCAATCATGCTGCAACTCTGCCAGCCTGCATGCACCACTAGTATACGCACGGCGCAGGGTACACTCGCCGGCAATGTTTGCAAAGATAGAATTGAGGAGGATAGGATAAGACAGGAGGACAGTGTGGGCCGCCGAGAATGAGACTTTGTGGGGTGAAGAGTGCCTTGTTTCATCTCGAAAGCCCTCCCCATCCCTTCTTTGGCCTAGAGACCTTCTTTGCCAACAAGCAGAAGGGAGGCGACTCCATTCAGCCAGCGGACTGCGCATCAGCGGCTGAAGCACCTACGGCTGCACCGTCGTCAGCCAAGCCCATTCGGGCCTGGTATCACGTCTCTACCCAGATCATGTGGGCACACTACCGAGCGGCTAAAAGTTGCGGACTAATGTTCTAGCAATAAGGACTGGGGCTATTTTGATCCTTCGAAATGGATGCCAAGCAAGAGAGGGGACTTGTTTTGATGAATGCGTGTTCATATACAGATCTAGCTACTAACTACTATGGACGACGATCAACATGTATCCGCCCATTGACGAGGCCCCTTATCAGTGAAACAGCTCGACAGCGTCAAACACAAAGTTCGGGCTGAGGAATGCATCTCCAGAGCTGCCCGAGATGACCTCGATGCTGATGGTGTTGGCTCCAGCGACCAGTGTGCCAGCCGGGATCTTCACATCATACACCTCGCCCAACCCACGGTATGCGCCACGGGTCACACCTCGAGAGTCTATCTTGGTGGGGGCGCTGAATGACTGCGAGTAGCTGTTGACCTTGGCTGAGGGGCGACCACTGGCAAAGGCAAGCGTGGTGCCAATGCGGAGAGTTGCTTCAGAACTAACGGCAGCATTGAGGTTGAACTTGATGGTGACTGGGCTGTTCACCGCCTTGAAGAGTGCCATTGGGAATGAGCTCACGTCATCTGAGCCAACCGTGAAGGTGTCTGCCTTCCAGCCTGCCATCCGTGAATCACTGGGGTGCATCCTTAGCTGGTTAGCAGCGTTGAGGAATCCAGTAGGTTGACCATCCCAAACGCCAATCTGGAAGAGGGTGGTGCGCTTCGCGGTCACAATATCCGAGGTCGCAGCAATGTTCGAGGTTGCAGTGCCCCCGGCAGTGACCTTGACTTGTTGCGAGGCGACCTTAAGCTCACCTTGGTAGAGGATCTGCGTGTAGGTTCCGGGGACCATGGCGGGCGATTTGAAGCTACCAGACGTACCTGCATATGCCCAGTACTGGTAGTCCGCATTCGTCCAGTGGACAACCGTCTTCAATGAGGAATCTGTGCCGCTTGCACTGCCGCTAACATAACCACGGGCCGAATCCGCAATGTAACCCGAGATACCTAGGTTTGCCCAAGGGCTGAAGTCGATCTCGGACTGCTTCGGGATCCCTGATCGACTGAAGACGAAAGCATAGGGGCCGTGGAATCCCTGCCGGTAGGCTTCCGTCTGCGCATGGTTCGAGTTCATGTAAAAGGTCAAGGAGCCCGCATCACCAGCCTGGTTTGTGTTGATGTCACGGAAGAAAGGCCCTCCAGAACTCTTCTCGTAGGATCGGGAGGCGTGGGCGACAACGCTAGCGTGCAGGTCCCCCGAGCTGCTTGCGAAGCCGTATACCCCATTGTCGATGAAACGCTGCGAGGAGTAGAACTTGGAACGTGTCTGGCCATTGACGAGGTATACATCGGACGCCTCGATTGCTGTACCACTGGCTGTGTTGGACACATCGCCAAAGGGAAACTCATTTGGCAAAACCGAGGGGTCCAGACGAGCAATGTAACGAAGCTCGCCGATTGCTGGCTCAGAGGTGGTGTCAGTGGCCATCTGAATGGCACTGGAACCCGAGGTGAAGACATAATAATGGGTCAATTTGAAATCGGCATTATTCGCAGCCACGGACACAACGATGTACTTGCCTAGATTGTCTGGGTTAGCAACTTCTCGTGTTGGAGATGTCTTTTGAAGTCTCACTATCAACAATCTTGTAGGATACAGTGGCCGAGCCGAGGCCAGACGCAATGTGTGAGCTCTTGGACTTGTACTGGAGCTCGGTGCTTCTGTACTTGATCGATGTTATGGAACCATCGGTTCGGCTGATAGTCACGACGAAGCCATCGGAACTTCCAGAGTCCGCAACGTAGCTTGATGTGCTCTCTGTAACGCCGAATGCTGCTAGAGCTGGGGCAGCGCACGCCAGGAACAGCGCCCCAATGTACTTGAACTGAACCATTGTACAGTAAAGAAGCGAACGGAGACGACTGCCGGGTCAGACGAGACAGGGAAGCAAAGTAGACGAAAGAAAACCCAGGCAGCTGGATTCTCAACCTTCCAGTTTCAGATTCCATGCGGCTGCTCTCAAGATCATATATATCGTCCCATTGCGTCTCTCCCCTGCGCGCGCTTTCGTCCTATCCTTGGCACGAGAGAGCTGGATGCCGTTTCGTCAGTTCTGCATGCCTTGACGAATCCCCTGAATCTCGCCGGAATACCCATGCTTGACCTGGTTATTATCCACCGATACAAGACGACAACGGCAGTTTTTGCCTTGACAGCCGAAGCCGAACCCCACGTTACCTCATTCGGACGGCTTCTATAGTTCCGTGTTGCTGTTTCTGAACTAAGGCAGAGGTGAAGGGCTGCTTATCCCCCAATACGATGGGCCTATCTCAATCGGGCTGTCGAGCCGAAATTTGAAACAAACTGGACATTGCAACGGATCTGTCACCGACGGCTTGGCAGGGGACAAATGGTAGGCATTCTCGGCAGAGCGGCGTCAAATTGCAACGCGGCTCGACTAGTGATGGGACGTTTCGAAGTTCTTCCCCCAATCTGTGCCCGTGATCCTCACAGGCATCGCGTGCTTGGAGTTGGATCATCTCAACCCCCCCGAACCCGAACGCATGAATTGCTTGATCTTCACTAGTTTATTAATTGTAGGGTTCGAAATTTCCACCAACCGGGTGGCATTTGCGGATTGAGGCCACAGCCATGACGATTATCACGTCGCCCCCAAATCCGACTCAATATGGATTTGCTGCCAACACCCCCAGCTGTCGATTCCTCGCAGGCGTAGAAGCATTCCTCTGATCCTTTGGCCCTACATCCTTCTATCTAAAGGACTCCTCCGGGATCAAGCCTCAGCTCCATCTCCACTGGATCAGCATCGCTAACACCCATAATACCAGAAACCTGCTGACGGAGCTGCGCGTGCCGTCGCTGGTCCTGCGGCTGCCTCCTCCATCATCAGTGCCGTTTACTGAGCCATCGTGCTCGATGGTGATCTCCTCAGTCAGCCCAGCGGGCGTGCAGATGGTCCCGTCCGAGAGATTCATGACCTGGCTCCATTTCCCGTCCGCGCACCGCTGCCAGGTCCGGGGCATGCAGTTCCACTGGCCCTCGGGAGAGCAGTCGGCTCCTTCGGCCTCAGCGCGGCGCTCTGCCGTGGTGGTTACCAGTCCCATGCCCTCGGAGCCGACAGGGCCGGCACGGGCTTGCAGGCACAGCTGTGACAGTATCAGGATGAACGCTGCGAGGCCGGGGAGCAGCGTCGAGGGCGACCCAGATCTGTGAAGGATTCTCATGGTTTGGGTTTGTCTTTTTCGGCTGATCAGTTTCGTTTACTTTCCTATATCATTAGCACGTGTTTAATTTGCCAGTAAACGTCAGATGGTCTTATAATAATTATTCTGGGCGAGGATAGCGGTGTAGGCTTGGCGAAAGTTGAATCCTCGGGTCAGGACACTCACCGATTCCAGGTGAGATGATAGAGCACCGAGGTTTATTCTTTTGCCCTTTTGCTCTTCTTTGTCTAGTTTATCTGTCTATGGATATTTCCATCTCTGGTTTTCTGGGAGATTTTATTCTTTCACATCTGAATCACCGCTGGGGGCGTGTCTCTGAGCAAGTGAATGGATTGGTGCCCAGTGGTGGGTCGATTGGACGTGGATGTGTCTCATTGGAGCAGCCGAGGAGAAGTGCGCAGACATCGTGAGACCTGAATCGGTGAATCTAAGAAGAGATCGGGGGATACATCACGAGATCGGGTGTTGCGTGCATGAGCGAGTGTCGTGTTGGCAATGCAATCACACCAGCAGTGCCTTGAAGTGGGCGTCAGCCGTCATTGAGGCATGGAATGACGCATAGGGTCACACATCACAAGATGAAAATTGAATTAAAGAACCTCAATACTCCATCTATCCCTAGTCTATATGTATGAATGCTTTGCAGAACCATGGTCTCCCAGCTGAACTCCGATTATATGCAGCTGATGTGCATGTTGTAGACGTTGGTCTCCAGGGCAGGACAACCGATTGATATAGACGCCCATAAAGAACCTAGACGCCCCATTTAGCCCGGGCCTCCGCAGCCTTGAGCCACTTCATGCGACGGTCTCTCTTCTCGCAGAAGGCAAAGACGATGAAGGCCAGAAGCACGAGTAGGAGGAAGCCGGCAAAGACGACGATGAAGAGGGACGGGTTGTAGAAGGTGGTCGCGTCGAGCTCGGTGATGGTGAGTTTTGCTTCGGAGCCGAGGTCCCCGGAGAGAAAAGGGCGGAGGACTGAGCTGAGCGAACTGTCCATGGTGACTGTCGTTCTGTTGAAAGCGTCTAGGGAAGAGTGGTAGGTAGATGGCTATGCAGCTCAAGTGTTAGTATGTAAGCTGTCTCTGGGAGTCTTTGAATCCAGCGAGATTATAAAGAAACCAACTTACTATAGTAGGGAATAGACTGCGCAGTATTTCAAGTATTAAAGAACTCTTTTCTTCGTCGCCAGCGATGAGTGTTCCCGTGAAGAAGAAATTATATAAGTAGAGGAATGAGAAAGAAGAAGCAGAAAGGATGCAAGAAGATCAACTTGAGTATTTATGTGTGATAATTTGATCGGAAAGTTAGGAGAGAGGAAACGAGCACCATCTTCGTATTGTCGGTCCGTAATGTTGAGCCGCTCTTAGTATTGTTCGTCTAGTCGCAAGCCACAACCTTCAACGGCTCACGGTTGCGGCCGGTGTCGATCTCTACATTATTCTTCAGGCAACAAGTGTGAACAATGTGAGAAGAGCATCGGTTTCACGCTAAGTATCTCGAAAAAGAAATATAGATGGCGGCGCCTGTTTACCTACAGGGGCGGGCAAGAGCCATTCATGACGACAAATGTAGATATTCACTCTCCATGTCGCTACTTCCGCCTTTACCACGATGCTTTGGTCGACTGCGTTCAAAGATGCCTTACTAGATATTTTTTAACTTGAGTAGGGAGTTATCGCAGACATTTCTCACTTCAAACTTGGCTCACACTCGCAAGATGTATGGTGATATACTTTATTCAAGACATGTGTCTAATATGTGCTAACCGGCGAGTAGATGCGCCGGTAGATGGTACATTAATAAACCCGTAACCCAGCCTGACAGGCTTTTCCATCCCATTATTCCCATACCAGCCAAAAGCCTGAGGCTCTATCCCAAATTAGATCCGCCAACTCCGTCCAGTTTACCCAAAAACCTGACCTGTCACAAAAAAGAAATGCCCAGCCCAATCATCCGGCATAAAAATACACGCGCGCGTTGTCTCATTCTGCGATCGTTGCCCTTTCCAGTCATCAACAGTAGTCTTCCATACCTCGTCCACTCCGTAATTAGTTTCGATAGTTCACGTGCTTGCGTTTCCCCTGCTGGCTCCCCTAGTTCCAACTGGCCACTGTGCCGTTCCACGGGGGGTATGTGGTCTGCCAAAGTCCATCATTGGTCGAGACCGATGAAGACACGGTGCTCGTCGTCGCCGGTGTGGTGGCTGCTGATGAGGTGGGAGTTACCACCGGAGGGTAAGACACAGTGGCAGTCGGCAGAGAGCTGCTGGGTGGGAGACTTGGCAGACTTGGCGACGAGGGGAGCGCCGAAGAAGTGGAAAGCGCCGAAGTAGTCTGTGGAACGCTGGGTGCCGCAACCTCTGTAGAGGTGGGAACGGGCTGGGGCACACTGATGGAGGAGGAAGTTGTGCTTGTAGCGAGTGATTCGGTGGCTGTGGAAACAGCCGAGGAAATAGAGCTAGCCTCCGTCGACGTTGATGAGCTGGTAGATGAGGAGGTAGATGTAGATGAAGTCGTTGATGAGGTTGTGGTGGGCTCTACAGAGGAGGGAGCCGGTGGCGCCACTGAGGGCACCACATACACAGTTGTTGTAACATCGTCGTCAAGGTCGATGACGGAAATAATGGTGGTCGGAACAACTTGTGTGACTGTGGTGGGCTCGGCAGTGTGTGTGACGGTGTCACCAGTTTTGGTGACTATTAAGGAGACTGTCACAACGCCATTGCTGGGATTGTCCCCTGGACTTCCATTTCCACCTCCGTTGTGGTTGTCATTCTCATCGGGGATGAGAGGAACCACCGAATACTTGGGCTTGTCAGGAAGAGCTGCACGAGGCTGCAGTGCTCGATATGGCAGTCCAGCTATCGCCGGAAGCAGGGCTGAGAGTGCAAGCAGACGTCGAGTTGAGGCACGCATCTTGAAGCTTCTCAGACTCGTTGGTTAGTGCGAGGGTGCGTGTAAGTAAAGGCAGACGCCCCGTCCGTCTCAAGCCACCGTCAGCAATTGAAAAGCAAAAACTCAGCCGAAAAATAAATCATGCACATAAATGATCAGCAGAATGAAACGAACAGTATTGGTGATCGCGATGAGTTTCAGCCAGTAGATTTACACAGAGAACAGAACCCTTCCACTGCGGGAGCGTGCAGATGCAGGCCATTTTCAATACACCAAAATGCCGGAGGCTGGTGCCACTGAGACGGGCGAATATGTGGTGGTTGGGTGGATAGAATTAAGCTCCCGGTGTCGCGTCCATTGGCCAGCGCCAGGGTTTAGCGCAGAGGTGCCTGAGTATCCACTGTGCAAGGGGGCCCGATCCTAGCACGTTCAGCAGCAGCAGGTGCCTGGCCCAGGGCTCACAGGCGACAGGCCAACGCGTTTGACGGGTGGCTTTGATGGGCCCATTTCACCAGCCACCTTGAATGGAAAGCTTCCATGCCACGACCCCTAGGGTCTGGACTTGTCTGCGCCCCACAAGCTTCTGCAGAACATCAATTCCTGTGCATCAGATCCATGGCAAGTCCAATTCACTGCTGATAAGGTGGGCGGCGGCGATGCTTGTCCCATGCCATCTACGTTGAGAGTGGCATGCCTCCTGGTAGGTATCTGATGGTGGAAGACGGGCAGGCATTGAGCTGGAAACACCCAGTAAGGCTGACTGCCTGGACCAAGCGTCATGATCAATCTTTCTGAAATGCGGGGCGGTCCGATCAGCGCCGGGTGTTCGGACGCGGTTTATCTGTGTCGTTTTTTGCATAGACAGCTCCATCACGACATAACCTTGATGGTATTAAAGACGGGCACTAGTAAAAGCACCTCAGTAGTGGTCTCCGGGTTCATACGATTATAATTAGACGTATCTCGATCAGCCTATTCCACTCATGGGTGTTAGGCACGTCTGAACCAACGCGTCCACCCTGAGCTAGGATAGAGCGTCATCAGGTGGCATCTGTCAAGCCAGTTCGATCCCTGCCCATCTAGAGAAACAAGCAAAATATTCAGTCATGATACCACCGTCCACCTAGCAATGAATCCGACACGGCCAATCGCCAGAAAAAATGTCTGTGTGGCCAATTTCCCGTGCATACAATTGCTACCAAGCACCGCCCATCCCATTAGGCGCACCGCCACGCACCGGTTTAGATGACGTCTATGTCCGATTAGGCGCACCCCGCCACTGATCACGCGTCACAAACATCGCACAGCCCACTGCCCACCTAAATATTTAGTCCATGGTTCGCATCTGCCAGCTCGTGGTTTTCGCCCATACTGAGCCCGTTCTGCGTCCAGAGCAACACCTCTCAAGCTTACTGCGTGAAAGCAGCCCATCCTGTACAAAGTATCCTCTCCCTGCGCAATCACCACTAGTATCGATTAAGTCATGTCTTATCACGGATATGGCCAGCCGCCGTACGGCCGTAAGTTGCTACCCCTCCCAGACACTGATCTACAATCCCAAGCTCATGTGGCTGACTGGTCTTATATCATAGAACCTCCCCCTCCTCAGGGCTATGGACAGCCACCTCCTCCCCAAGGCCATTACCCACCTCCTCATGGCCAGTATCCTCCCCAGTATCCTCCCCAGCAGCAGGGTGGCTACTATCAGCAGCCTCCTCACGCGCCATCGCCGCAAGGCTACTACCCTCCACAAGGCCAAGGTCAATATCCTCCGCAAAATCAAGGCCAGTATCCTCCTCAAGGTTACCACCAGCCTCCATACGGCCAGCCTCCCCCACAGCAATACGGTGCCCCTCCTGGACCATACGGCGCACCTTCAGGACCCCCACCGCAACAATATGGCCATTCCCCAGCTCCCAGTGGTCACTACGGCGCGCCGCCAGGTGCACCGCCGGGAGGACACCCCGGAGCGCCATATGGTGCTTCGGCTGTCCCTCCAACGCCCGCATCACCAGGCTACGGTCCTCCCCAGATTATCCAATGGGACGGTGGAGCTGACGCCAAGTCACTTCGTGCCGCGATGAAGGGATTCGGAACAGACGAGAAGACACTCATCCGAGTCCTGTGCGACAAGGACCCGCATCAGATCGAGTACATTCGCTCCGCCTTCGAGCGCGACTTTAACCGAAACCTTGTGCAAGACATGAAGGGCGAAACAAGCGGATGGCTCCAAAAGGGCTTGCTGCAATTGGGCCGAGGCCCCTTGCTGGCCGATGTCTACCTGCTACACGAGGCCATGGATGGACCAGGAACGAAAGAAGTGGTCCTCAACGACGTCCTCCTGTCCCGGTCGAATGCCGATATGAAGGCCATCAAGAGTGCCTACTACAAAACTTTCAACCGAAGCCTCGAAGACGTCGTCAAGGGTGACCTGAGTATGAAGACCGAGAGACATTTCGTCATGGTCTTGGCCGCGAACCGGGCGGAGGACATGGCACCTGTGAACCAGCAACAAGTGGAGGACGATGTTCTGCAACTCTACAAGGCCACCGAAGGAAAGATGGGCACAGACGAGCTCTTGGTCTGCAGTATCCTCTCCTCGAGGAACAATGACCAGATCAGAGCCATTGCGCACTCATATAAGCAGAGGTTCAGGAAGGACTTTGATGATGTCATCAAGAGCGTGAGTTTTCCATCCGAGTCCCATAACATCTACCCCATATTCTAACTTTCCCAGCAGGAATTCTCAGGTCACATGAAAGACGCCCTGCTCCACCAACTTCGCTACGCGGTGGACAAATACATGCACGCCGCTGTGTTGCTAGAAGAATCTATGGCCGGCATGGGAACCAAAGACCACCTACTTGTGTCTCGCCTTGTTCGCTTCCACTGGGACAGAAACTTCCTGGCCAACGTCAAGGCGGCATACCAGCAACGTTATCGCAGAAGTCTTGCCAGTCGGGTCAAGGGAGAGACTTCCGGGGACTATCAGCGACTCATGCTTGCGATTATTGGAGAGTGAGATGTGACGTCGTGATACCCTGTATGAATATATAGAACAAAACAATAACGTTATCAATAATATGAGATATGAGAATTATTAACTATGGACCTCAAATTTTATTATCGATATTTCAGAATAACTTTTTCTCCCTCTTCCTTCCAACTACCAGGCCAACTTTTTGCTGGTACAGCATTTTCATTTACCTACCCTAAATGCCCATGCTGAGAACAAGCTATACAACCTCACCTACTGGTAGGTAGTTATCTTCCATTTTATCTTAGTCCGCCTTTTGAGTCACTGCTTCGATCGTGGGATGTTTCTCCCAGAATAGTCTTTGGTGCATAGCATTAACATGAGACGGCTAAGGTTGACTGAGTTGAAGTCACCCTTGAATGAGGCTGGTAGTGATCACAGCATTTGACCAAATGCAGGAGATATACCCAGTAAGTGAATATTTTACAACCTCAAATCATTACGATAATCTCTTTGATTGATGCCGACACTGTTGGCCGTCGGCTAATTTAAGGCCAACACCGATTTAGGCATCGAAAGTAGTCAGGCAGAGACAACCCCCCATCGTTCCTGCCTGCTTAGAAGCTCGCAACTGCCTATTCGAAATCTAGGTACTCACCAATGACGAGAGAATCTCGCTTCAAGCTGAGAATCATTTTATTTAAATGGAATAATAATTTCGACTGACAAAATGAAAGCGAGCCTTCTTCCTCCGTTGGGGAGAGAAAAGAGAACCACCTACAGCATCCACATCTTCTCCTCTCAGCTACCCAAGGCGATTCCCGCCAAATCTATATTTTCCAGCCTTGCTATTGTTCATACTCACCGCCAACATCGCTTCCCTGGCCCTGCCAAGTTTCGACCATGGACTTTATCAAGCAAGAAGACTTTGTCAAGCAAGAAGAAGGATATGAGCCCGGCATCCCATCTCACGTGCCACCATTTCCATGGAACGACGAAGACACCAAATTTACAATGATATTCCGCGACTTCGGAGGCCTACCTATAGAACCCGCTACGACTGTAGTCATAGCCCTGAGGACGCTCATAAGGTTCGAAGAGTTGATCGTACCGTTCGAGAGGAAAATCAACCACTCCGACGATGGCCTGAGAGCCTGGAGAGAGAATCACAAAAAGGCCGTCGATCTGAATATCGTCGGCCTGCCTGGCTACCCCCCGCTGAGGACATGCCACCAGGGAATCTCCAAGTGGAACGACAAGGCGTGGGAGAACAGGTACTCATACCTGGTGGAACAGAGGCGGAAAATCATAGACAGGCGCCTGGCCCAGATCGGCATCAAGAAATCAGCGCGGGAGCAGTTCTTTAGGAAGGAACCGGAACAACCGCGCCGTGCAATCCTTGCTCATGATCCATCTGGTCGGCTTCGAGGCATCAAACTCCACTGCGACTGGTGGCGGCCGGTGAATGTGCTTCTGAGAAGGCTGGCACGCCAGTTTCCCGGGCGTTCGGACGAAATTCTCTACAAGTTTTGGAACCCATCCCCTGGGATACGCTTTGAGGACACAATAGACGAGCTTCGAATTGTGGCAGCGCGGCGGACTTAACGAAGGAAGATGGGTTACCATGTTGAACAAACGGACCACCAGATAGTATCGAAGCCAGATCACTCTACTTACTGATGACAATATATAAGCTGGAAGAGCATCCGTTTCTCGCTTGCCATGTAACACCGTGCCAATCTAAACAAACCTATGCCATACGTTAGGTGTTTCTATAAGCCTGTAGCACGTATATACTTCACCCTCCCCGAACCCCTCCCTTTCTACGACCAGCACGAGGTCTTCGAGGACCAGACTGTTTCGGCTCTGGTTTTTTTCCACGAGCGTGCGAAGACTAACCTAATGTGAGTGCACGCATGCAAGTATGGCTCGACACACCGCATACAAGTTTCAAGGCAAGAAAAAATCCGGAAATTGCCATCCCAGGCAATAACAGGGTTCCATGACAAGAAAGCGATTCGACGTGATTAGGCCTGCTGACAGGCCCAGGAAGGGTCCATCTTGCCGCGAGGGGTGATGACCATGGCTGGAATCACAGCGTCCGGTTTGGTCCACCGACTTATCAGCAGAACCCCCAATCCTGATTTGATGGCGAAATGGGGTCTAAATGGAAGAAGTGATGGTTTCACGTTTGCCGAAATTGAAGAATGCGACGGAGGTTGCTACCCTTCGTGGCACTAAGGCGCATTCTCTAGCGCTAATTAGCAGTAGTGGCCGGGTACCGAGCATGCGGGGACGTCGTGGCGTCTCAGAAATATGGACCGCTGCCGGAGCAAGGCACCACTTCCCACCGCCTGGAACGTCCGTCTTCTGGTCAGGAGCAGGCCGGGGCAGCTCCTTCTGCACAACAATACATTACCGTGAGCGCTTAGAGGCAGGAACCAACGGCCGCAGCTGCCTAATGCCGCCTCTGCCTTCACTTCGTCCTCTGCTGCCACCGCCGCCGCTGCACTCAAGATTGGATTGGACGGAGGATCAAAGTTCCGGCTATTAGGCAGTTCCAGATAACGTTGTTGCAGGGCTGTTCCTTCAGGTCCCAACCAGATCCGAACAAGTCCAGGCACAGGGGTTCCCACCGTCCTGGCCAAGGCTGCAGGGGCTCAGAAGCGACTGGCAGCAGCCTTCATTTCTCAAAGAGGTCCAGATTGGTTTCAACCCGAACTCCCATGTTCTCCCATCGTCACCACCTGAAGAGTTTCAGGTGCTGTAGCCGCTCCCCCTGGAATCGATTTTTCGAAAAGAGCTGACAAGAGCTGACGCCATCACTGTGATGAGTGCAAGTGGTCTTCTCATGCGGTTTTATCGCGTGGTCTTCATTTCAGAGGTCATGGCTCTATGGCGATTATTGAATCTGGCGGACACTTTTTCGCAGATTCGATTCATCTCGCAGCAGAATTCTCCAGATGGCCGATGATATTCTCCCGAGCCGCCTCTATTAGTATATCAAAATCGGGAGAAAAGACAACTCTATCTGCGCAAAAGAGTCTAGAAGGGGTGGGAGCGCTTGGCGTCATCTGTGAGAAATAACCCTCAGGTCGTGATCCGCCCTCTTTACCTTACCCTTGCATCTACCGTCCACCAAATCCTCATTTGTCAAGCGCCCGCTCACTCGCCGCTCTGCATGCAGAGCTGCCATGCGAGGGGACCTGGTCCGCCCCAAGTGGACCATGGCCACTCGCTTGGCCCGCAGAATCTTGTAGATGGCTGTTTCAACGACGAGTATAAGACGAGCCCTCTGGTCCGTCGTCTGAAGTTTTCTTCCCTTCTCTTCTCCTCAGGCTTATACAACAGCTTTCAATTCATTCTCTTGTTGCTCTTGCAATCCAAGACATTTCATTCATTCATTCACTTCATTGACTGAAGTCCCACTTTCACTCACTTGCACGTTTCCTCGAACCGCTAGCCGGATCACCAACAAAGTACAAACAAACTTCCAAACCGAAACCGTCCATCGATTGTGACATCTTCAAACAACTTCAACCCGACAAAATGCCTTCTGCTGCTCGAGTTCTCGCTTCCGCCCTTGCTGGCGCTGTCGCTGTCTCTGCCCACGGCTATGCCAAGGGTCTCACCGTCAACGGTGTCTACTTTCCCGGTTACGATGTGACCTCCGCTCCTTACCAGGCTAGCCCTCCTACTGTTATTGGCTGGGGCACCTCCGCAACGGATCTGGGATTCGTTGCTCCCGATGCCTTCAGCAGTGGTGATATTGTCTGCCACAGGGATGGTACCAACGCCAAGGGTCACGTGACCGTCGCTGCCGGTGATAAAGTGTACGTCAACTGGAACACATGGCCAGAGAGTCACAAGGGGCCTGTTATTGATTATCTGGCGAACTGTGGTGATGCTGGTTGTGAGACTGTTGAGAAGACCAGCCTGAAGTTCTTCAAGATCGCCGAGGCGGGTCTCATTGATGGTTCAAGCACTCCCGGAGTTTACGCTGCGGATGAGCTTATCGATAACAACCTCGGATGGATGATTGAGATTCCTTCGGATATTGCCCCAGGAAACTACGTCCTCCGTCATGAGATCATTGCTCTTCACTCCGGTGGCAACGCCAACGGTGCCCAGAACTACCCTCAGTGCTTCAACCTGAAGATCACTGGTTCAGGTAGCTCCAACCCTGAGGGTGTTGCTGCCACGGAGCTGTACACTGCCACCGACTCTGGTATTCTGTTCAACATCTACGGCTCTGTGAGCAGCTACCCTATCCCTGGCCCTGCTCTGATTGCTGGCGCTTCTGCTATCCAGCAGGCGAGCTCCGCTGCCACCGCAACTGGAACTGCCACACCTGCTGGCGGCGACAGCTCTAGCCCAACCTCCGCTGCTGGATCTTCCTCCGCTGCTGCTCCCACCTCTGCCGCTGCCTCTACGTCTGCCGCCGCTGCTCCCACTTCTGCTGCTGCTACGTCTGCTGCTCCTGCTCCTACCTCTGCCGCTCAGACCAGCGCAGCAGCTTCCTCTGCTGCCCAGGCCAGTGCTTCCTCTGGTGACTTCCTCACTCTCTCAACTGGTAGCGCCCCTGTTGCCAGCTCCACCGCTACCAGCACTGCTTCGCAGCCCGCTCAGACCACTAAGGCTCCTACCTGCAAGAGCAAGCGCTCCAAGAACCTTCGTCGCCACATTCACTAAGTGGAGAATTTCCTTGAAGTATTAGGGTGGAAACATTCCAGGCACAATGTTCATATACCAGTTGATTTGGTATGATTTGTTACTGGGGACGATGGATTGTTTGTACACTCGAATTCTGTTGTATATATAAGTAAATATAGGCCTGGATGGAAAAATATATTAGAACTATGCTATTGCTACATAAAGCTCCTACAGTTCGGTGATGTGAAAATGCAGTTTCTTTTTTCATGTGAATATATCAGCAATCTCAATGCTTCATGTGGTTTCTGTTGTTAAGGCGAGCAGTTGTAGTCCACTATAAATGGAGTGGATCTTATCGCATTGCGGCTTTGCAGGCAAAAGGGCGACCGACA